GAGGAGGAGGAGGAGGAGGAAGAGGAGGTGGAGGAAGAGGAGGAGGAGGAAGAGGAGGAGGAGGAAGAGGAAGAGGAGGAGGAGGAGGAAGAGGAGGTGGAGGAAGAGGAGGAGGAGGAAGAGGAGGAGGAGGAGGAGGAGGAAGAGGAGGAGGCAGAAGCCATGATGGTGCAGTGATTTGAATGCAGAACTGCAGGCTAACTCTCTTTGTTGCTCTTCTCTGCACTCTTTCTAGAGTCTCAACCTCTTTTTTACATCGTGGCGACCAAAACTGGGTGCAGGATTGCAAGGGTGGCCTTACCAAAGGCCTGATAAAGTAGTATTAACACTTTACATGATCTTGATTCTATGATTTCTATCTCTCTGTTAATGCAGCCTAGAACTGCGTTGGCTTTTTGGGCAGCTGCAGCACACGGCTGGCTCCTATCACAGAAACCTTAATTTTCTTCTCATGCTCCTGTTTCTGCTCGAGACCCGCCTAGCCGGATTTTGATGTTCTGTTTTTTAATTTCCCCATTATTTCCAGATGGTTTCTGATAACCGTATACCTCCTCCAGCTGCACATACCCGTAATTGACCAATTAGGGGAATGATGACAGCACTCATGGAAATGCAGACTTATTAGACAGGGGGGAATTAATTAAGGGAGGGGGTATCCCTCCCCATGTGAGAGGGGAACAGCTGAGGACCGACAAATAAAAGTCAGGTGAGAAACAAAGAGTTTAATAATTACGTCCCAATTTTGAAAGTTCTTTGATTATGGGCCAATCGGATATAAAGAGCATCATTATTTTGTATCGACAGAATTGGGGATGGAAGGAACAGGGGGGTGGGCTTGATGCTCTTGGTATAACCAAGTGGTCTGATCCCTTCAGAACTTGTCTTACCTGGTCATAATTTTCTGCCTCTACATGCTTGTGTTTCCGTAGCTGTTTGGCCACGGATTTGGGCAGCATTTGATGAAGAAGGTCTTCAGCTATTTGTCTTTCCTGTTTCAGATCCTCCGTTCGTTCCTTGAGGGTCCTGGCATAATTTTGGATCCATTCGGTCATCTCTTTGAAGGAAAAAAGGACAGCCGGGTAGATAAGACTGGTGACCACCAAGAGGGTGATTTTGAGGCTGACCAGGGAGATGATATCCTTAGATTTCTTCTGTAGCTGCTCCCGGCTTTTCTGAAGCAAGCATCTCTGGAGGACGTCAAATTCATCCATCAAAGGAGGGGACAGGGATTGAAATCCTGGAGGAGGAGTGACCGTGTGGGTGGCCAGGATGGAGAAGTCAGGATGCTCAGCCCAACATTCTTGGGTGCTTTCTGAGACGAAAACAGAAGAAAGAAGAAGAGAAGACAGCCGGTGCCACAAAGCTTGGGCCTCTTCAGGGTCGCGGGACGTTTCTGGAGCCCGTAGCATGTTGCCTTTGGCTCTCAGGAGAAGCCTGAGAAAGACCACATCTAACCAGTCTGGATTTGACCTCCTCTTTTGGGCCTCTCCCTCCTCAAACTCCTGGAGGATCTCCAACATCCTTGCAATCATGTCGAACGGTGGGAATGCCATCCCAGCGGTGCCGTTGACCTCCCTGATGGAGGTGGTGTAAGTCGGGCAGCTGAAATGATGGTTGCACCAGGATTCTTTGCAGAAGGCAACCCAGCTCTCCAGCGTGTCTTCCGGCCGAGAGTCCTCCTCAACCATGTCTCCTCTTCTTCCTCCTTGCCAATTTGGTTCTTGGACAAGGAGGTTGAACATGGAAAGCGCCAGGAAACTCTGGCACGAAGAGAGGTTGCTGATGGCCTTTTCCACATGCCTCCGGGACTCCAGGATGGGGCTTAGGTCCAGAGCGGTGTTTCCCAACAAGGAGAACAAGGAGATGGAGCAGAGGGCCAAGATCCGCCTCACCGTCTTCCTGGCGTGGCAGTCCGACGGAGGGGAAGAACACCTGAAGGAAGGCGGAGGGAAAACCCGTCGAAGTGAATAGCAAATCCCATGTTCTTCTTCCTCTGTGGTCAGCTCAGGTTCCTCCCAATAATATTTTGACAGGGCTGCAGAATGAGGGGAGCCCAAGTGAATAGATCTGTTTCTCTCGGCCATGTTGGATGGTCCGTGCAAAGGTGGGTAACGCTTGGCACGTTCATATGCACCACCACAGCTATATGAGTTATACGCAGGGAATTCTCCAATTGTGGGCATTTAAACACACCTGGGGTCATATTCATTCTTTTCTTGTACTTCTTTTCTCCCTTTTTTGCTATAATTCTCAAAATTGGCCTTAGACTCATAAATACATCCTGATTTACATATTTCTCAGGAGGGCATTCCCTTCCTCTGGAGAATTATACATAGCTTTAAATCATGTGAAAATGATGTTCTTTTATTTTGTAAATTATAGAAAGAAGAACCAGGAAATAGTTATTCTATATCTCTATCTCTCTATATATATCTGTCTATCTGTCTATTATCTATCTATCTATCTATCTATCTATCTATCTATCTATCTATCTATCATCTATCTATCTATCTATCTATCTATCTATCTATCATCTATCTAATTATCTATTTATTATCTCTGTCTCTATTATATATTTATATTTATCATATCTATCTAGATATCTAATTATCTATTTATCATCTATATCTGTCTGCCTGTTTGTCTGTCTGTGTCTGTCTGTCCATATCTATCTATCTCTATCTATCTATCTATCTATCTATCTATCTATCTATAGAATTTGTGAATTAGCAGCACTTCAGTTTAAAACTTGCTCCACGATGGAGGTTAGAAAATGGCTTGAAGGTAGCACGAAGGAAAAATAGAAGCCAGGTGGTGAAAATAAGATGGATGGATTAGGGGAACTAGCAGAATAACTAGAAAAAAAAATGCATTGAAATGGTGGAGAATTTGATGGCTGGAAAAACCCCAGCCAAAAAAAAAAAAAAATGTAGACAGTTCAGTTCTTTTTATATTGTTTGCATTTCAGACCAACCCAAAATGCAGGTCTTACCAATTGCTTTAAAAATTAATTGTAAATTTTAAAAAAAGGCTAGTTGAGTTAGATACGTTTATATACTTCCCTTCTTAAAGTCTATCTGCTTCGTCAGACTCTATTGTTAATTTTTGTTGTCTTATTTTTTTTTCCAGTTGATGGGCAAATGAATTATTCAATTAGATTTGTTTCAATCTTGGTTAAGGACCCCCATTTAAAGTGGGAAACCCACCTCCTCTTGGGCAGACGGCGACTTGAGATATAAAACTTATTTCAACCCAAGATGCTTTCTTGATCCAGAACAAGATTCCAATCCAGCCCCCAAATCATGATTTTTATTTTAAAAAAAAGAAACAGATGATTAAAAATGGTTTGTTGGAGGTTACTCAAAATGTTCCTTCCATGGGTGGAGGCTTATTAATTAAAAAAAACAAAAACACTTTGCTTTAGGATTCTGCAAGCCCTTTAACCCTAAACATCCAACGTACTTTCCTTGGTTGAAAATGTAAAACGGTTTTGTTTCCAGCTTCTCCATCTTAAAAAAAAAAACCCACTCACCTGTGAGAAGAGAATCTCTTCTGGGAGTCAAGCGAATCTTTGCTCGGGTCTGGCTTCGCCTTATAGGAAGACGAGGGAGTAAGGTAACGCAGGCTTTCTGTGCCCGACATTATCTAGAGTCTCCAGCGGCCCAGACTTTGGGGCAAGGCGATGGAGTTGAGTAGGAAGAAGAAGCCTCTTTGATTCTGCGTTGGGAAGAGTGCAGCTCTTCAAACTGGTCTCAGCCTATTCTAGGGTTTCTAGCTCTTTCTTTCTTTCTTTCTTTTGAGTTACAGAGCGAAGAAACAAGGATGCTCCCCACACGACAGGGCATTTGAAGCAGGAAGGAAATATAGATAACAGATACAGATTGACAGAGTTGGAAGGGGCCTTGTAGGTCATCTAGTCCAACCCCCCACCCAAGCAGGAGACCCTACACCATTCCTGACAGAGGGCAGTCCGGTCTCTTCTTGAAAGCTTCCAGGGATGAAGCTCCCACAACTTCTGAAGGCAACTTCTGTTCCATTGTTGGTTGATTGTTCTGTCAGAAAGTTTCTCCTTATTTCTAGAGTTGAATCTCTCCTGGATCCGTTTCCGTCCATTATTCCTTGTCTGGCCTTCGGGGGCCTTGGAAAACAGCTTGACCCCCTCCTCCTCTCTGGGGCAGCCCCTCAAATCTTGGAAGATTCGGGCGCGCAGTGGTTAGAGGGCTGTATTGCAGGCCACTTCTGCTGACTATTGGCTGCCTGCAATTTGGCAGTTCGAATCCCACCAGGCTCGAGGTTGACTCAGCCTTCCATCCTTCCGAGGTGGATAAAATGAGGATCCAAAATTGTTGGAGGCAATATGCTGACTCTGTAAACCACTTAGAGAGGGCTGGGAAGCACTATAAAGCGGTATATAAGTCTAAGTGCTATTGCTATCATGTTCCTAGAGGTAGAACTCTCGCCTCACAGGAGGCTTGTCAGTTCAATCCCAGGTAGAGGCTAATATTTGGAATAGACTCTCCTGCTTGGGGGGGGGGGGGGGGTGGACTAGATAACCTCCAAGGTCCCAATTCTATTATTCTATGTCTCCCCTGGTCTTTCTCTTCCCTAGACTAGCCATGCCCAGTTCCTGCAACCATTCATCGTATGTTTTAACCTCCAGTCCCCTAATCATCCTGGTTGCTCTTCTCTGCACTTTTTCTAGAATCTCAACATCTTTTTTATAGTGGGGTGACCAAAACTGGATGCAGAACTCTAGGTGTGGCCTTACTAAGGCTTTATACAGTGGTATTAGTACCTCCCTTGATCTTGATTGTATCCCTCTGTTAATGCAACTTAGGATTGCATTGGCTTTTTTGGCTGCTGCTGTACAATGTTGTCTCCTATTTAGCTGGTTGTCCACAAAGACTCCAAGATCCCTCTCACAGCTACTGCTATTAAGCCTGGTTTCACCCAATTTATATGTGCACTTTTGGCTTTTCTTGCCTAAGTGTAGGACTTTACTTTCCTCTACACTGAATTTCACTTTGTTAGATATGGCCCAGGGTTCAAGTCTAGGTAGCCCTGTAACTGTTTAGTGACTGTTCAAAGTTACGATGGCACTGAAAAAGGGACTTGCGGCCATTTTTCACACGGACGTTGCAACATCCCTACGAAATGGTGTAGGGTCTCCTGTTGGGGTGGGGGGGGGTTGGACTAGATGACCTCCAATGCCCCTTCCAAATCTGTTGTTCTGTTATTCCCGCTGAACAAAATTCAGATGCTTGACAACTGACTCACACTTATGACGGTTGCAAGGTCCCCGGGGGTGTGTGTGTGTCACGCAATCTCCTCCTGTGATCTCCAGGGAAGCCAGATTCACATAAGGACCATCTCACCAATTTTAATACCTTGCAGCGATTCACTTAACCACCGTGGCAAGAAAGCTCATAAAAATGGGGTAAAACCCACCTAACAAAAGCCTCCCGTAGAATGTGAGTTTTGGGCTCAATTGTGGTCGCAATTCGAGGACCGTCCGTTGAAAAGGGTTGTGATGACCCAGAGTGGGATACAAAATAAACACAGTCACAAAAACAGGTGAAGCCCCTTTTTATTCCTTCACTTTGATTCAAAGCTCCAAATATCCTTGACTGGAGACAAAAAACTCCCCTACAAACAGTTACGAAAAGGAGGAAATGCCGTTTAAACTAAAAATGCCTATAAATTATAAAGAATAAAAACAACACAAACCACACTGATGCAATTAAGGGAACCGGGCAAGATAAGGGCTTGAAGACATCCACAGATATCGGAACACACACTGGGAAGGATGCCAAACTCAGAGAGGAACAACAGAGATATTTCCATGCTTTGTTTCCAGCACTGGCCCATACGCATGTCTGTCCTTTTAACCAGTTCTCACAGCTGCAGCCCATGAAGAGGATCAAGGCCATTTCCTCCCCCTGTAGAATTCAGGTCTCTCCCTTATCCTCTCCTCCTTTCATGCCCTAGGACGGAGAGGGGATGGGCCCGGGTCTTCCTTTGACTGCCCAGCCTCCTCCACAACCTCCGGAGCTCCACTTCCACTCCCTGTCGGCTGTTCCTCCTCTCCCTTGGAGTCAGTCTCCAACAGGGGCACGACAAGGGTAAGCAGGTAAGTCAGAGCACCTGATTTTGCAGTGTGAATTTCTCTCCCTCTTTTCCTTTCTTGGCTGATGAGATCTGGAGCCACAAATTTCCTTTTCTACCAATAGAATTAAAGCAGAGGTCTCCAAACTTGGCAATTTTTAAGATTTGTGAACTGAGAAATTCTGGCTGAGGAATTGTTGATGTCCACACGTCTTAAAAGTTACCCACGGTTGGAGGCCTCTGCAATAAAAGTGTTACGAAGCTCAGGATAAAAGGTGATGGGAATTAGAGGCATCGAACAGACTTTCTGGAATCTGGGATGCAATTCAAGAGCCTTTCTTGTTTACAGTCAAGAAAAAGAAAATAAGTTCCAGAGCAAAACCAGGGCTTAAGAAAGAACAAAGCCAGCAAGAGACATCGAGTACAGATTTGAAACAGTTTTTATTTCTTACAAAAAGAAAACAAACCAACAACCCCAAACCCGCCACCTTTGGTATCTTAAAATAATCACATCAATTGTTTTCGAAATCACCAGGAAAAAAAAAATCCATTAAGTCTCTCTAGAATTAAAAAAAAACATAACAAAACAAAAAGCCAGAACACACTGCAACAAGCTTGGTGAAAGATGAACTCAACAGCCTCCCCCCCCCCCAATAAAAGTAATTAAAATTGTGGTATTTTTGTGGTACGATTTTCAGAGGAAAAAATCGACAACTCCCATTATCAGTGTTAGATCAAAGCGGGAGTTAAATGTTTAAGTCCAGGTCCATTCGAAGTTGGCTGTTCTTCGGCCCGAAAATGGTTTAACAAAATGGATGCCCGAAACCCACCAACAATAAGTTAAGAAATGAGATGGCGCTCAATTTAGGGGTTTGGAACCAAAGCTAAGCAAGAACCATTCAAACCCAAAGGTGCCTGCGCTGATGGTTAAATGCCTCCTCATCGCTTTCCACCTACATAAAATAATCCTTAATGCACATTTTTTTTTT